CACCCTTAACAAGAAGCACAAATCTGGTTGAGAAGACACACCCTTAACACCATGGGATTAAAAATGTACTCTTCAGGGCTGGCGCTGTGACATAGCACGGAAGCAGGTTCCATCAGAGGGGCGTCCTGCAATAGTGCTTCCCTTCACTCCCCAAAACTGTCAGGTTTCTGAATAAGTCTTTCCTTAAAAAGAGAGAAAATCCGAGAAGCTATCAGAGCTGAGAGAAATCTAGGGAGACATAAAAACCGCATGTAATGTAGTATGATATCCTGGAACAGAAAAAGGACATTAAGGAAAAATTAAGAGAATCAGGATCAATTGTTGCCTTTAGTTAATAAGAATTCATCGATACCAGTTCTTTTATTTTCAGTCATATGGGAAATTGTGTATGTGTGTGTTTGTGGGGAGGTTGTTCTAATGCGATTGTCCATTTATATAGTCATAACTTATGTAAATCTAAAGTGTAGGGACCAGCAGTGTGTTACAGCAGGTTAAACTGCTCCACTTTCGATCAGCTCCCTGCTATTGCTCCTGGGAAGGCAGAGGAGGATGGCCCAAATCCTTGTGCCCCTGCACCCACACGGAGACTGGGAAGAAGCTCCTGGCTCCTATTAGGCCGGGCCTGGCGCTGGGCTGATATGGCCATTTGGGGAGTGAACCAGCAATGGTACTAGTATCTTTCAATTGATGAATAATAGTTACAATTTTCCACTCTTTTTAGTGATATATGGATTGTTCAGACGTCTAAATTGTTATGAATTGTGTAAATATCTAAGAATAGAATTGCTTATGGATAGTTGTATGCTTAAGTTCACAAGACTCTGACAAATAGTTTTCAACTATTTCAACATGATTCTATGATCCCATAAGCAATGTGAATGTCAATTGCTCTGAATGTGGCACTGTTCTTCTCAGAGAATATGTGGTTCCAGAAACCCACAGAGAAAACTGGGGTCTATCACACCAAAGGCTTGCTTCTTGTCCTGTGACTTCTAGTATGCAAAGGAGCATGCTTTCATCCAGAAAAACAACAGTAGTTCTTGGAAGCTGAGATTAACATCTGTCCATTTCTATCTCCCCAGATCACTGAATAACCACACAAAGAAAGACTATAGTGTCATTGGTAGGAATCGCCCTTACGGCCCTCATCTGAGGGAAGGAGGGAGGAGAGGGAAGCAGGTTTGAGCAGAGGGAACAGTGGAGCTGCGGTGCAGTTCCAAAGACAGTCTCTGCAATCCTGCAGGGAGCTCTGGGGATGAGTGGCCTTGGAAGTTGTCCTGAATTGCGCGGAGACAGCCATGCTTTTATGTTCCAGCAAGGAGCTGTGACCCGGAGTGCACCAAGCTGGGAAGAGGGATGACCTTGGGTGAGGCAGCTCCCACAGCCAAAGGTGCTGGCAAGCTGAAGGCTATCTGCCTCCTGCACTCCTGGGGCATTAGGGCTTTAAGAAAGGACAAAGAGGCTCAAGGTCTTATCACATAAAAGTTGACTTCTTGCTCATCCAAATCTGCTGTGGGTGCAGCAGCTCTCCAGGACATCTCCCTTCCAAGTGAATCCTGCGTGCTCCATCTTGTCATTCCACCATCTCAATATTGACTTAACCGTTCTCTGAGTCAACACCCTCACCCTCCTCTGTGCCTGGAGTCTCTTGAGATCAGTCTCTCAGCCTCCAGGATCCAAACAATAAGATCCTATCACTTGTATTACAAAAAGCAAAGCTGCCTAGCCTTGTGCACAGAGGGGAAGACAAAGGTTTATGCCCCTCCTCATTCAGAACTCATTTCCCTTAGTCCTGCTTTTGGTTTTACCTCGTGCTTTGACTTGCAGAGCTACCATAATTATGTAGGGGGAGAAAAGAAAGGTGTTTCCAAGAAGAGGAGTGGCTTGCTCCTCTGAAACAGGTCTTTCTGTACCCAAAGTGACATTTTCCATTTCCCAAAATATATTCCGCATTTCTTCACTTTGTGCATTTCAGAGGTGCATACCTTGTCTAAATAGCTATCATTCTCATCGATATTAGATGCTATGCTTTTTCTGCCCCCAATTCTCCGAAGATTTGTGCTGATGGTTTGAATACGTAAATGACATCATGTCAACTGTGGTTTTCAACTTCCAGTGCCTTCTTTTTTTTTTTTTTTAAGATTTATTATTTATTTGAAAGGCAGAGTTACAGAGAGGCAGAGAGAGAGAGAGAGAAAGTCTACCATCCACTGGTTCACTCCCCAGAAGGCTGCAATGGCCAGAGCTGCACTAATCCGAAGGCAGGAGCCAGGAGCTTCTTCTGGGTCTCCCACATGGGTGCAGGGGCCCAAGGACTTGGACCATCTTCTACTGCTTTCCTAAGCCATAGCAGAGAGCTGGATCAGAAGTGGAGTAGCCGGGACTGAAACTGGTGCCTATGTGGGATGCCGCCACAGCACCAGCCTCATCAGTACTTTTTTTTTTTTTTTAACAGGCAGAGTGGATAGTGAGAGAGAGAGACAGAGAGAAAAGTCTTCCTTTGCCATTGGTTCACCCTCCAATGGCCACCACGGCTGGTGCACTGCAGCCAGTGTACTGCGCTGATCCGAAGGCAGGAGCCAGGTGCTTCTCCTGGTCTCCCGTGGTGTGCAGGGCCCAAGCACTTGGGCCATCCTCCACTGCCTTCCCAGGCCACAGCAGAGAGCTGGCCTGGAAGAGGGGCAACCGGGAAAGAATCCGGCGCCCGGACTGGGGCTAGAACCCGGTGTGCCGGTGCTGCTAGGTGGAGGATTAGCCTATTGAGCCGCGGCGCTGGCCTCAGTGCCTTCTTATTTGAAGTTGAAAAAATTCAGATCCTTGGGGCTGGTGCTGCGGTGCAGCAGGTTAACGCCCTGGCCTGAAGCGCTGGTATCCCATATGGGTGCCAGTTTGAGACCCGGCTGCTCCACTTCCGATCCAGCTCTCTGCTATGGCCTGGGAAAGCAGTAGAAGACAGCCCAAGTCCTTGGGCCCCTGCACCCACGTGGGAGACCCGGTGAAGCTCCTGGCTCCTGGCTTCAGATCAGCACAGGTCCAGCCATTGCAGCCAATTAGGGAGTGAACCATCAGATAGAAGACCTCTCTCTCTCTCTGCCTCTCCTCTCTCTAACTCTTTCACATAAATTAAAAAAAAAAAAAAAAAACTTTAAAAAAGAAAAAAAAATTCAGATCCTTAACATGAGATGCAAGGCCCTCCCTGCTTTGTCCCCCCTCCCCTTCTCCTTCCTCTTCAGGCACCAGAAGCAAATGGACTTCTATTCCATTCCTTGAAAAGCAAAACCCCAAAGCCCCATGTTGAGTTTATGGTACTTGCTGGTCCCTGCAAATGGAAAACTCTGCTCTGTGAACCCTTGCTTGGCCAGGGACCAGGGCCAGCCCTGGCCTTCTCCTCCATTCTACCTTGCTTTAGGTTCTTCACAGTGTATAATACTAGTTGATATAATCCTGCTCATTTATTTATAGACTTGCATATTGTTATGAGTAAATGAATTGATAGTGGGGAATTTATGTATGTCTTACAAAAGAAGTGAAGATCTGGGGAACTACCAACTACCAAGTTATCCCAAAGCATAGCTGCAAACCAAACTTCCCCAGTGGCACCAGCCAGCCAGATCCCAACAAACCCACTCATCATCACCTCACACTGTAATTAGCCCATGAACACTTTTGCCTTTAATGTTTTGAAATCATTAAGATGAATAAAAGAATAACCCTTCCTCCCCCTGCTGTTTGAAAGTAAAATATTAGAAACAAAGGCAGAGTTTACCATTCGGTTATCTTTAATATTTGTGAATGAATACTGATGACAGTGCATTTTAAATACAACCATAACTTAGGTCATCCGTTTCTTTCTGTGACTCTATGAACCTAATTCAAAACTGCTTCATTTTTCAAGAAATGGTTGAGGATGATGGGGGTAGAGGAGAAGTGGAAGGAAAACCAAAGTCCAGAATTCTTTGGAAGCAGAGCAGCCTCCACTCAGGCCCAAGAGAGAGTGGGGGATGGGTGTAGGAGAGATTCCAGAAACCTTGGCAGAACCCGATTCGCAGAGACACAGCAATGGCCAGCGGATGAAACCTCAACTAGAGAGACTGAAGTTATCAAAGTCCCAAGGCATTCCAGGGTCTGAATAGAAGAACACGGATGGTCAATTTGGCAACTACCAGCACTCAGCAGTGCTGCTTCAGGGTACACCAACACGGGGGCGTTCTCTGCAGGACCCGTTAATGCAAACTCATTCAGCACTCTGCCCCGTAAAAGTGACAGTCAGCAAACCTCCATGCAGCTGAGCAGGGGAGTATGAAGGGCCCAAGCAGCTTCCGGAAGCCTAAGCGGGGAGCTGCGGCCCCAGGCTTGGTGCAGGATTGACCATCAAGATACCACGCTCAGGTGAGGACTGAGGCTTGGAGCGCGCAGCTGTGCGCCCTGTTCTGACTGAGAGGCGCCTCTTTGCTGGAGATTGGAGGCTTGGCTCCTGCACCCCCAGTTCCCTAGAGCGACGCCGACAGCCACGTGTGACAGTTGAGAGGACCTCTGGGGCACAGGGACCCAGGGAAGTCCGCGGGGCTGCGTGAGGTTTCCGGGAACTGTGGGCAACGCCCCCTGGCTGTGCTGTAGATTCCCTGGCAGCCCGTAGGCGCTTGGGAGCCTTGCAGCTAGTACCATCACCTGCAGCCAGGGACCTAGCGAGTTTGGGGGCCAAGCCTCGGGCTGCCCTCCAGAGCCTGCGATCCTGCTTCCACCTGGTCAGCTCTGGGCTGGTGCGTGCCGTAGGCTCCGTGTGGTCCACGGCCTTCCGGTCTTGGCCGCACTTCCACAGCTCGTAGCGCTCGGGTTGCAGGATACGAACGAAGGCATCCATGGAAAAGGTGACCCTGGCCTCCCCGCAGCTGCACTGGGAGGCCACTTTGCCATACTCGATCCAGCGCGGGGTGGCGAAATTGATGGCTTCGGCGCAGTTGAAGCCGTGGTTGAACCCCGCGTGGTAGCCGTAAGGAAAGGTCACCATGAACTCGCCAGCCTGCTGAGTGATGCGGCGGAAGGGGATGCCGTTCTGCCGCAGGACGCTGGGCGAGATGAGGGCCACCTTGTGCCGCAGGAAGGCCTGGCAGCTGCGGGAACTGCCCGGGAACAGCTGCCCGGCCAGGCGCTCCAGGCGCCGCCCGTGCTCCGGGGGCACCGCGTACCACGTCTTGGGCTCCCCGAAGTGCAGGTAGTTGATGCTGTACAGGTCCATGTCCTCCGTGTGCCAGGCGAACGTGGTCTTCCACATGCCAAAGTACAGGTAGGGCGTGTTGACGCCCTCGATGACGACACCACATTCCTGCTCCAACAGGTCCTGAATGGTGCCCAGGCGCCTGAGGTTCCAGTGTGCCGTGTTTTCATCAAACAGAGAGCCGCTGATATCAGCACCATAGATTGGGGCATCGTAGAGACGGTTTTTCCAGTATTTTCGCTCTAAATCTTCAAAATTCAGGTGCGGTGGGGTCTGGTATTTTGTGCTGTTGGCAAGTTGGCGATACTCGCTCAGAGTCATGGCTTTGTTCTTTTTATGGAATTGAGTAAAGACACCTGCCCCGCCATAGGCCACCTGCTGGAGGGGGCGAGTTATTAAGATGTCATCGATGTCATCATAGGTCTGTCTGGCCCTCCACTCCTTGGGTGGGATGACCTTGGCCAGGCCTCCCCGGTGTGCACCCTGAGATTCCATGTAAGCAATATAGTTATCAAAATCACTAAACTCTTCTTTGGTTGGATGAAATACCATTATGCTGCAATTTGGATTCTGAGCACGATGGGCCTTAGACTTCATAGTTTCAATTTAATAAGCAGCCAATTTTCAATGTTTAGCTAAGTCAAGATGGTTCAGGATGGAAGAAAAGTCCACCTTTGAAAATCTGAGTTGCTGTCTCTAGGAGGTAGCAGGATCCACCAGTTAAGGTTTTTTGCAAATAAGGTAATAATCCCTTTTAGGCTTGCTGTGTCACCAGGGGCACTCCACTGTTGGTGGCAGCTTTGTCCAGGCTCTGATGGTCAGTGAGTCTGCAATTGGTACTGTTCCTCAGGTGGTGGCTGGCTCTACCTCCTTGAGGTCTACTGAATAGCCTAGACTTGGGTGGGTGACTCAGATGTAGTTGAGTATATATGAGTGCTGTGTCTAATACAAAATCTGAAAGAAAGAATATAGAAACATTGAAAATTAATGTTTGGAAAAAAGTTATGAAAGAATTACCAAATAAATACCAGAATGAGAAACTACTATTCCAAAGATAGGCTAAAATGTTATAAGATTATCAATACAAGTGATGGTGTGGATGTGGGACAAGAATTCTCACTCTCTACTAGAATGAGCATTTCAGGTATGGAAAGTCAAGACCCAAAATTGTCCTACTAGAAGGACCTCTATGGGTGAGATCCTAGTGGAAAGAAGTGGTCATCAAAGAAGGGTGTACTTTTCTCTGAAGAGAGGAGAGATCTTCCACTTAGCTTATGGCCTTGTCTAAATATTGATGGGGCTTGTGAATTCAAAAGGCTTCCATAGCCTAGGCAAGAGCCTCAGGTGATCACTGATGTCATACATAAGAGTGTTAATTGTTAAATTAACAAGAGTCACTGTGCACTAACTTCTCATGCAGGACCTATGCTCTCAAAGAGTTAGATTAGGAGAGTTAGAAGTAAAACCTGTTTTCAAAGATTTATTCCATTTTAGTGTATTAAGTGGAAGGTATTATTATATCTTATAAGTTTCAGTTACACCAAAGTGTCCAACTCCATGTTTGTTTCCTTGGTGCTTCTTTAATTAATGATTAAGCTTATTCCCAAATATTTACTTTCTTTTAGTATATTAAGTGGAGGCTATTCTTATGTCTCATAAACTGCAGTTATGTCTTAGTGCTCCCAAAAGATGTATCATTTTTGGGTGCTTCTTTAAGTGAATTAAGTTTCTCAAAAAAAAAAGTGAAATTAATTTCGAGATGGAATGCTTTTGAACAGCCCTTGTCTTGACTGTTGAGAAACAGGGTTTTTTTCTTTTTGTTTTTTCTTTTTTCATACCAATTATTGAACTCTTTGATTACTATAAATAATCTTCAGTGTATAAAGTGAGTTGAAAATAGAATTTAGTATAAAATAAGACTGGGAATAGAAGAGGGAAGAAGATGAGAGGTGGGAGTGCAGGTGGGGAGGCGAGCCAGTGGGAAGAATCACTGTGTTCCTAAAGTTGCACTTAGTAAATGCATGAAGTTTGTATTCCTTAAATAATAGATTTCTTTGGGAAAAAAAAAGAAAACAAAGAGTTACAGCTAATACACAAAGGGGGAGGGATGGAATTTTAAATAATAGCATCCAAAAGAAAGGGAAATGTAATAAAGTAAACATGGACTAATACAAAATACATAGCAAGATAACAGACTCAACTTAACCAAACCAATAACATTTAATGTAGGTAGTCAAAACACCAATTAATAGGGAGAGACTCTTGGGACCAGACATTTAGCTTAGCAGTTAAGCACCCATGTCCCACATCAGAGTGCTGAGTTTGATTTTCCTGGCTCTGGATCCTCATTCCAGCTTCCTGCCAAAGTAGATCCTGGAAGGTGGCAGTTATGGCTCAAGTAATTGGGTTCCTGCTACCCATGTGGGAGACTTGGATTGAATTCACAGCTGCTAGTTCTTGTCCCAACCCAGCCCCAGTCACTTACAAAGAGAACCAGAGTGCAGGATATATGTCTGTATAGTCTGTCTCTCTCTCTCTTAAATAAGAAAAAAAGAATTTAAGGCAGAGATTGTCAAATTTGATAAAACAAGATCTAACCTATACACAAGGATAGGAAAGGTCAAAGAAATACTACACTGCTGTTTGGGGAAGGGGGGTGACCCTAGGAATCTAAGCAGCCTCTCGAAGCTAGAAAAGGTGAGGAACACTGCCAGTGCTTTGATTTTGACCCATTGAAATCCATTTGAGACTTCTGACCTCCAGAACTGAAAATGATATATTTGTGTTGCTTTAAACCATTACGTCTGTAGTAATTAGTTACAGCAGCAACAGCAAACTAATATAATACCCAACAATATATTCAAAGGACATTATGACAAGACAGAGTTTTTCACAGGAATGCAGAGAAGGTTTGTCATTAGATGATCTATCAGGGGATAGAGAGAGCTTAAGCTGAGCACAGTTTCTAGGCTCCGGGTTGCTCCACTTCCAATCCAGCTCCCTGCTAACTCACCTGGGAAGGTAGCAGCAGACTACCCAAGTAGTTGGGCCCCTGCCACCCATTTGAGAGGCCTGGACAGAGTTTCAAGCTCCTAGCTTCAGCCTGGCCCAGCCCTGGCCATGGCAGCCATTTGGGGAGTGACTCCGCAAATGGAACATCAGGGTATTTCTCTCTAAGTGCCTTTAAAATAAATAAATAAATCATTTTGAAACAAAAAAAAATAATTTTTTTGTGAAAAACAAAAATATTATTTATTTGAAAGAGTATGTGGGCGGGGTGGGGGGGGCAGAGAGAGAGAGATGTTTTCCATCTGCTGGTTTACTCCCCAAATGACCACAATGGCCAGGGCTGGGCCAGGCTGAAGCCAGGAGTCAGAAGATTCATCTGGTTCTCACAGGTGGGTGGCAGGGACCCAAACACTTGGGCCATCATCTGCTGCTTTCCCCAGGCCATTAGAAGGAAGCTGGATCGGAAGTGGAGCAGTTGGGACAGGAACCCACACCCATTATGGGATACCAGCATTGCAGAAAGAGGCTTTACCCAGTATGCCACAATAATGGCTCCTAAAATTTTTCTCTTTAATGATTTTACTGTAAATTCTTTATAGGTTTATAATATATATCAAAAACTTCATTCTTTCTACCTGAAAACTTGCTCTAGAGAATAAGTGGGGCAGGAGTTTGATGAAGAACTTAAGATGCCACTTGGGACATCTGTATTTTATATTGGAGTACCTGAGTTTGAGTCCTGGCTCCACACCTGATTATAGCTACCTGATAATGTGTATCCGAGGGGGCAGCAGGTGATGGCTTAAGTAGTGGGGACCCTGCCACCCATGCAGGGGACTGGGATTGAGTTCCTGGCTCCTGGTCATGGCCTGACGCGGCCCTGGCTATTGTGAGAATGTGGGCACTGAACCAGAAGATGGGAGCATTTTCTTCCTCCCTCCTTCCCTCTCTCCCTCCCTCCCTTTCTTCCCTCCTTCCTTCTTTCTATTCTTTCTCCTTTCTTCTTTCTTTCCTTTCCTTCTTTCCTTTCTCTTTTTTCTCTCCCTACCTCTAGAATAAATATTTTAAAAAGAAAAAGGTGACATTATTTAGAAAGAGCTCAGTATCAGAAACTTAAATACCATGCTGAAGACTTTCCCTCCCAGGAAATAATAAAATGCTGACTAGGAATATCACATAAGCTCCCATGAATATTCTTATTGAATATACAATTAAAACAAGCTTGAAATTGTGTTCTATAAGTCTCAAAAGGTTTCTCTGTGAAACTGTGTTCTTGCTTCTTTCAACTGAAATGACAAGTAATGGTAAATAATTAGCCGGTCACTTCAGATTTTCCTTATCCACCATAGCCACAATTATGTGGAATTCTTCATTTAGGGAAACAACAGTTCTGACAATTAAAAAGTATTTTCTTCCTATGAGAATGATTAAAAAATAGTACTTGGGGGCTGGTGCTGTGGTGTAGTGGGTAAAGCCACCGCCTGCAGTGTTGGCATCCCATTTGGGCGCCGGTTTGCACCCTGGCTGCACCAATTCTGATCCAGCTCTCTGCTATGGCCTGGGAAAGCAGTAGAAGACAGCCCAAGTCCTTGGGCCCCTGCACCCAAGTGGGAGACCAGGAAGAAGCTCCTGGCTCCTGGCTTCGGATCGGTGCAGCTCCCACCATTGTGGCCATCTGGGAAGTGAACCAGCGGATGGAAGACCTCTGTCTCTCTGCCTCTCCTTCTCTCTCTGTGTAACTCTGACTTTCAAGTAAATAAATACATCTTTAAAAAAAAATACTTGGTCCCATAATCTTGATGGCTTTCTTAAGACTTATCTCCCTTTCTTTTAAAAATAATGCCTCAGGCACCGGGTACTAGCCCCGGTTGCTCCTCTTCCAGTCCAGCTCTCTGCTGTGGCCCGGGAGGGCAGCGGACTCTCACTGTCTAACTCTGGCAAAAAAAATAAATAAATAATAATGCCTCAGGGGCTGGAGCAGTGACATAGAGGGTAAAGCCTCCACCGGCAGTGCCAGCATCCCATACGGGCACTGGTTTGAGTCCCAGCTGCTCCACTTCCCATCCAGCTCTCTGCTATGGCCTAGGAAAGCAGTAGAAGATGGCCCAGGTCCTTCGGCCACTGCCTCTGTGTGGGATGACCGGGAGAAATTTCCTGGCTCTTGGCTTTGGATTGGTGCAGCTCCAGCCACTGTGGCCAATAGGGGAGTGAACCAGCAGATAGAAGACCTCTCTCTCTCTGCCTCTCCTTCTCTCTCTGTATAACTCTGACTTTAAATAAATAAATCTTTTTTTAAAAAATGCCTCTTAAGCTTCCTAAGGATGTGCGTGTGTGTATGCACACATGCATGTGTGTGTAGGTATGCACACACGTGTGTTTTAAGCTAGAGAAGATGAAAAATGGATTACATTTAACAATTTGTTTCACTGCAGCCTTTGCCCAAATTATAGGACAACAGCAGAGCCTTTTGTCTTTCATGTGGTATACATATTTATGTTACATAATTTCAGTTGGAGGGTGGTGAGCAAAATGTCTCAGACATTAGCCATTATTTCTCTGACAGTCAACATTTAAGTGCTATGATTAGTCAAAATTTTCTTCTCAAGTTAGAAAAGTTACTTACCCTTCTTACAAATCATAGAAGACAATAAATATGTTATAGCTGAAAAAAACCTACTTTAGTGCATGGTCTTAATTCTACTACCAAAAGACATAGACTAGATGACTGGATCAACAAAGAGAATCCATCTATATGTTGCCTTCAGGAGACACACCTTATCAGCAAAGATGTACGCAGACTGAAAGTGAAAGGATGGAAAAAGATACTCCAAGCTAACAGAAATTAAAAAAGAGCTGGTGTGGCCATCCTGATATCAGACAAAATAGACTTTAACATAAAAACTGTTATAAGAGACAGAGAAGGGCACTATATAATGATTAAAGGA